CTAAAAATACGGTTTTACGTTGACGTATGACATTTCTCTTGAGAGAAATGAATTCTCTCGAGTTTGAAAATAGCACCCCAGGGGACCTATTTTCAAAGTATGTGAGCACTCATTTCTCTCAAGATTCTCATCAGAAATGTCATACGTCAATGTGGAAACGCTGTTTTTAAAGGCCTCGAGGATTAAAATTCTTATGAGGATATTAGTTATCTCTAAATAAACCGTGAGAAACAATCAGTGAGTTCACACTGGCCCTTAGGACCCTAAAAATACTGTTTTACGTTGACGTATGACATTTCTCTCGAGAGAAATGAATTCTCTCGAGTTTGAAAATAGGTCCCCTGGGGCCCAATTCCTGACGCCTTCGTTAACTTATCGCATGCGATAACGTATGCGACTTGATGAAAGTGTATTCCTGAACTGGCGGCATTCGTCAAATTTATTAACGTATGCGCTAAGAAATGATGATTTTCAAAGAGCGCTCATGACCGTTCGACAACTACTTTGTCGCATTCGTTTAGGTGAAAGTAAGGTTATAATTGTCAATTAATCCTGCTTTATCATATGAGATTCGTGTTTCTATCTATTGGTTTTGTTTTGTGATTTATTATTGGGAAATATTTATTTTTAATTTGACTCTATTGAACATTTTATTAGAATATAAAAATGAAACTTTTTGTACCGTGAACTCTTTTATTGGACGTTTAGGTGCCACTTTATTTTGGTTTATTTTATTTAGTATGGATGATATAGAAGAAATATGAGTTTTACAGGCACTAAACAATGTTATAAATTCTACTAAAGTTTCACGCAATTTTTCCGTTATTCGTGAACCACGCTGTTCCATTTTTAATATTCTAAATCTAAACCACTCCAATTCTCAAGTCCAAAATACAAATAATCACAGTTAAAACGTCTAAAAACCAAAAATTATTAGACATCCAATCCATTTAATTTTATAATTTTTGGCAATTTTGACATGTGTCAATGCAATTATCTCATATTCAGTGATACCATCTTTGGTATTCTCAATCCTCATTGGTTAAGACTATGCAATAATCAAAGACTCTTCGTTAACACGTTCGACTTGATTCGCGATTATCGCATGGTGTTCAGGAATACTAAATTGCTGTCGTATGCGTTAACGACCATGCGTTACTTAGCGCATGCGGCAGTTAACGCATGTTTCGAGAATTGGGCCCCAGGGGACCTATTTTCAAACCGTGTGAGTACTCATTTCTCTCAAGATTCTCATCAGAAATGTCATACGTCAATGTGGAAACGCTGTTTTTAAAGGCCTCGAGGATTAAAATTCTTAGGAGGATATTAATTATCTCTAAATAAACCGTGAGAAACAATCAGTGAGTTTACACTGGCCCTTAGGACCCTAAAAATACTGTTTTACGTTGACGTATGACATTTCTCTCGAGAGAAATGAATTCTCTCGACTTTGAAAATAGCACCCCAGGGGTGCTATTTTCAAAGTCGAGAGAATTCATTTCTCTCGAGAGAAATGTCATACGTCAACGTAAAACAGTATTTTTAGGGTCCTAAGGGCCAGTGTAAACTCACTGATTGTTTCTCACGGTTTATTTAGAGATAATTATAATATCCTCCTAAGAATTTTAATCCTCGAGGCCTTTAAAAATAGCGTTTCCACATTGACGTATGACATTTCTGATGAGAATCTTGAGAGAAATGAGTACTCACACGGTTTGAAAATAGGTCCCCAGGGGGGCTATTTTCAGAGTATGGGAGCACTCATTTCTCTCAAGATTCTCATCAGAAATGTCATATGCCAATGTGGAAACGCTGTTTTTAAAGGCCTCGGGGATTAAAATTCTTAGGAGAATTTTAATTATCTCTAAATAAACCGAGAGAAACAGTCAGTGAGTTCACACTGGCCCTAAGAGCCCTAAAAATACGGTTTTACGTTGACGTATGACATTTCTCTTGAGAGAAATGAATTCTCTCGAGTTTGAAAATAGCCCCCCTGGTAGCATGTGGCGCGGATGAACGCAGCCAATTGGTTACTTGAACCTCTACCACAGTTTATAGCTAAAGAATCAGTTCGCTCACTCTGCGTCGGCACTTTTGATCTCAATGTTCCAGTTTATACATTGTGCAACTCGGATTTGTATCCCTGGCGCATACAGAATCAAATCATAATAGCCCAAGAGCCCACTGTAAATTTTTACCGCCATCTGATAATGAAATAAAATATACCCCAAAAGCTTGTAAAAACAGTGTACTTTACTGAATGGCACCTGTACAATCCCAATCCTGAGCAAAAGTGTTAAAAAAATATATTTTATATTAAAAAAATCACATAAGGCATGACAGCGCTAATTTTGTTTGCCCTTAAAGTTTTCCAGATAATAACATATTCAAATATATATTGATATATATCGTTAACGGGAAACATTTTCTTCCTCTTAACATCGCACAAAAACATCTGCACACGATTAGTAGGTAAAAATCATTAAAAATATGAATCAATTTTTGCTGATTTAAGAATTTATTTGTATGCCTATTGTTGTGATTCATTTTTACAGGTTGTCCTAGGAACGACAAAAAAACTACTATGATTATGGTTTAAAAGAATTGTCTAACAAGAGTTTATAATTATTATTGACTATCTCTGCCAAAGTTAGGTAAAAATATTAATAATTCAGAAAAGCTAGGTTCACAATGAATTAGGATTGTAATTTTTAGAGAAAACACAATTATCGCTGTCATGTCTTATGTAATTTTTTGAATATAAAATAATTTTTTTTAACCACTTTGCTCTGGATTTCAGATTGGCACAGGTACAATTTGGTAAAGTACAATGTTGTTATATGTCTTTGGAGCATATTTCATTTTGTTATCAGATGGCAGTCGTAATTTGCAGTGGGCTCTCTTACTATTACCAATTAAGCATTCCAACGACCTGTCAAACAATAGCTGTCAGTGAGACTGGTATATCTAAGGGGGTAGAGACATAAGAGAGTTATTGCAAGTTCACTTAAGGTCAGTCACTATTAGTGCCGCTCTTATTTTGACATCTGAGCATGCGCAGATCACTAACTTTAATAAAGATTGTGTCTGTCCCTAATAGAGAGATATTGCAAATTTCTATAAAGCCAGCCACTAATAGTGACATCGTAATTAGAGTCAAATAAATTCTATAATAGTACCTAATATTAAAGAGGCTTTAGAAATTATAATTTTGGAAGGTTTAAATGACGAGCGCATCCGAAAGCTATAAAGTCGCCACTACCTGCTGCCCTTAAACATCCACAATTAAGGACAGGCACAATCCTTAATAAAGTCAGTTTTAGAACATAAACATCTACGCATGCTTAGATGTCAAAATAAGAGCGGCACTAACAGTGCCTGACCCTAAGTGAACTTGCAATAACTCTCTTAGGGTCGATTCCACCGTTGTGTTAAATGGAGATTAAAATGACATTGTTAATGTAAAAATGTCATTTTAAACTTCGTTTACCACAACGGTGGAATCGGTCCTAAGTCTTGCATCTTGAACGTTTTTTTTATTCGAAATAATAGTCACAAAGCCTGCCAATTTATGAAAAAATGTATCTTATTTTTATTGTGTTTGACATAAAATATTTAAATGTAATCCATTATTCATGATTTTACGTATTGTAAACAGAATACATCGTATGTCGCAACCCTTTGGATATATCAAATTTTCCCACTGGCAGTTCATTTGTTTGGAATGCCTAATACAATATAGGTCTTTTCCTTTGCATCGAAAGTGTATCACTGAGCTACACCACTTCTGAAAATATCGTTCCATTTATACAAATTGTATGGATGGAACGATATTTTCAGAAGTGATGTATCTCAGTGCTACACTTTCGATGCAAAGGAAAAGACCTTATATGACAACCGCCTATATTCAAACAGCAGTCTTCTGCGCATCCAGAATTTGTATCCCTGGAGTGGATGTTATTTTGGAACATCCAATCGGTCCGAGTGAGCGAACTGATTCTTTTAAGCTATAAACTGTGCCTCTACCCATATAGACATTGCGTTCGGTCTGCCAAGTTCCTTTAACTCCTTTAACACTTTTAACTCCAAACGACCCTTTTAGCGTTAGGTTTAGTCCGATTAGTGACAGTTTAACACGCTTAAATGTCATTTAAACATTTGTCCCGCTCCAGGGGCCCAATTCCTGACGCCTTCGTTAACTTATCGCATGCGATAACGTATGCGACTTGATGAAAGTGTATTCCTGAACTGGCGGCATTCGTCAAATTTATTAACGCATGCGCTAAAAATGGTGATTTTCAAAGAGCGCTCATGACCGTTCGACAACCACTTTGTCGCATTCGTTAAGGTGAAAGTAAGGTTATAATCAGAGGGTTGTCTCCACATACTTTGATTTTCTTTTGTATGTGGTTGTCTCTGTTATAATTGTCAATTAATCCTGCTTTATCATAGGAGTTTTACAGGCACTAAACAATGTTATAAATTCTACTAAAGTTTCACGGTTTTTCCGTTATTCGTGAACCACGCTGTTCCATTTTTAATATTCTAAATCTAAACCACTCCAATTCTCAAGTCCAAAATACAAATAATCACAGTTAAAACATCCAAAAACCAAAAATTATTAGACATCTGCAATCCATTTAATTTTATAATTTTTGCATTTTTTTGGCAATTTTGACATATGTCAATGCTATTATCTCATATTCAGTGATACCATCTTTGGTATTCTCAATCCTCATTGGTTAAGACTATGCAATAATCAAAGACTCTTCGTTAACACGTTCGACTTGATTCGCGATTATCGCATGGTGTTCAGGAATACTAAATTGCTGTCGTATGCGTTAACGACCATGCGTTACTTAGCGCATGCGGCAGTTAACGCATGTTTCGAGAATTGGGCCCCAGCCCCTGACTGACCGAACTCGCCTGTAGAATGCTCCAAATTGACAGTCTGGCGTCCAAATTGTCATGCGCACCGACCGTTTTTTCACCCATGTCGGCTTAGAAATTGGGAATATGGTGTATGTTATATATAGCCATCCAGTTTAATATCAAGTTAATATCAAGGTCGGTGGTAACTGTTAAGTACATTTAATCCATTAGTAATCTATGGATATAACTGAACTTTGATTTTCGTTCAAGGACGACTTACCAAAGTCCGACTCAGTTGAGTTATAATAGGTCTTTTTCTTTGCATCCACAAGGTCTTTTCCTTTGCATCGAAAGTGTAGCACTGAGCTACGTCACTTCTGAGAATATCGTTCTATCCATACAATTTGTATAAATGGAACGATATTTTCAGAAGTGGTGTAGCTCAGTGCTACACTTTCGATGCAAAGGAAAAGACCTACATATGCTGCGTTTGAGAATCCACATCGGATGCATTTTTTACATCTCGAGCGTTTTTTTATCCACATCGGACACATCTGTCCCATTACATTTACGTATACTGAATCACGTGATCAAAGATTTTTTACATCTCAGATGCATATCCGATGTGGATTCTCAAACGCAGCATGTGTAGCACTGAGCTACGTGTCACTTCTGAAAATATCGTTCCATCCATACAATTGAAAAATAAACAAACCACAAATAAACAAACAAATCTTCAACCAGAGACATTCAACCACATACTTTGATTTTAATCAAAGTATTGCCGCGTTTGAGAATCCACATCGGATGCATTTTTTACATCTCGAGCGTTTTTTTATCCACATCGGACACATCTGTCCCATTACATTTACGTATACTGAATCACGTGATCAAAGATTTTTTACATCTCAGATGCATCCGATGTGGATTCTCAAACGCAGCAGTAGTGCATTCAACTCAAAAGTAAAATGAATAAACCACAATCAAATGTCACTTTTAAACATGGTTCATCCGTGCATAAAGATCGATCAGGTAGCGTAAGTGATCGCTACTTTTGTAGCGCTACTTGAAATGGCGCGGATGAAAGCAGCCAATGGGTGGTATGATTGAACGTTTACGTTATCCGTAACGTACATGTTAGGCCGAGTTTTAACAGCAAAGAGACAAATTCGTATGATGTAAAGTCTTTCATAACATATTACTGTTATTTTCCGCCTGTTATGTTCTAATTTAACAGGTTTCCATCATACGAACTTGCCTCGTTACTTTTAAAATTCGGCCTAACATATACGTTACCGATAACATAAACGTTCAATCATAGGACCCAATGGATGGAACAATATTTTCAGAAGTAACGTAGCTCAGTGCTACACTTTCGATGCAAAGGCAAAGACCTATTTATAAATACAGACCTTGAGTATTTGAAATTCAGCGAGGCACTAATTTTTTTCTTGTTGGCTGCTGTAGTGTAGAGTGTAGACCACAACTGTAGACATTTTAAATATTAATAGGTCTTTTCCTTTGCATCGACAGTGTAGCACTGAGCTACGTTACTTCTGAAAATGTCGTTCCATCCATACAATTTGTATAAATGGAACGATATTTTCAGAATTGGTGTAGCTCAGTGCTACACTTTCGATGCAAAGGAAAAGACCTAATTACAAAAAGAAGACGTGTTAAAGTTAGCTGGAATCTGGATTGCTGCAAAGATGTAGGCCAATGGCCAATAACAAAAAAGGTGGAGGGGAATTTACAATTTTATTTTTTCTTGAATCGCTAAATCGCAAGTGTAATCGCAAAATGATCGCAAATCGCAAGTAAGTAAAATTCAATGGCTACAGAACGTTCTAAAAAAGATCTCCAACGAAATTCAGCACTTAGAAAATGTTTTCAAGCACTTGTAGATCGAAAGCAAGTAAATATAACTATGGATACTATAAAATTAATGTTAAAACACGAACTCCAAATAAACTTGGATGCTTTCGATGAAAATCTACAAAACGTTTTACCATTTATGCTTATTGTGAACATTCGTAACTGGCCAGGTTGGCAAAAAAGTAAGGAATATTATAGTGGAAAATTAAATTTTCGTGAATGGTTCCTTAAATTTCGACAATATATTATTCTCAGATTGAGCTTCATAATAAAGAATGGATATAAAGAAGTGATGGATGAAATTCATAGAGAACAGCCAGAAGAAAAAAATAAGTCTTTAATTGAAAGAGGTACCCAGACTGATCACTTAACACCAAAAGAAGAGGCACCTTTTTGTATAACTATAGAGTGTTCACCAAAAATATTGAGTTCACTAGTTTTTATTGACAGAGCAGGTGAGTCATTTGATATCCTTTAGAGATGTGTTATTCATGAAAATTTAAAAAGAACGATGATCGCTTCATGGCCCTATTGTTCATATGACCCAGATGATTTGTAAGATTTATGCACTTATATGAATTTAATGAACCGAAGAGCTATTTTTCACAGATTGATTTGTGAGTGAACAAGTATACTCATGAATGAAGTGCCATTTTAATTTTTACAGAAAGTAAATAAAATACAATAAATCATCATCATAGTCTTAATCATAAATCAGTTAACCTGTATCAAATGAGACTAACGATAACTGACTTTGACCCGGTTCCCAGTTCATAAAAAGAGCTGGGTCTTATCATCAGTGCATATTGTACAAATCAAAGGTGATGCATAAAATTCACACTCACTGTTTATATTGTAAATATGAATTAATTTTTAACTGAATGAGTGACCTTGTCTGACCTGGGTCATCAGTTAATCCTCTTAATGGATTGACATTCACTAGAATATAGCTAACCTATAGGTATGCAATTTTTGGAAATATGAAAATATGAAACCCAATTCCTCCTACGAAATTAAGGGAGTTATGTGTGCTAGCAACAGTCAGAATCTAACTTTTTAGACCTTCAGATAGTGACAGGTTTAGGTGCCCCATTTTGGCATACAAGCCTTAAAGAGGGTTGAAAAGTACATCAATTTTAAGTAGAATGAAAGTAAATTTACGAGTGGCTCCTGGGGACAGCAATGGACAATTCGATTTTCCTCAACAAAAATGAAAGGTTATTTGTTGCCCATATTTCCACACAAGCCATTTTCACCATATGATTAATTGAAGTAGGCTTCGAAAAAAACCAAAGGCTTTAATGTTGCAAGTGGCTATAGAGTTGAAATAAGAGCATAATCTTCTAAGGAAAAAATCGAGATTTTACCAGATTTTCCACACAAGCCCATCGAATGTATGAAAACGTAAATCGTCACTAGTCCGAAAAATATATTTTCTAGAATGACCTGAATGTATAAGTGCATTTTGTGGTCTGAAAATTTTTCTGATAAGGAAAATCAAATTCTCCATGTGTTTCCCCAAGAGCCACTCATAAATTTTGGAACTTATTCGCTCATTCTTTGTAGTCAATATATATAACAACTACTTAACTATTATCATCAAAATATTGTCATGATTCCGCAGATCTTTTTCAGTCAAAAATAGCTGAAATGCCGAAAAAAAAGTCTAGATATTTGATAGGTATTGTCCTCGATGTACTCATTCGAAATTCTTATTGGTAAAATTGGCTCCAATGACTAGTTTTCCAAATATAACTTGAAATATATGCTTACTGACAAGTATGCGTTTGTTTATCCACATCAGATGCATCTGAGATGTGAATCTTTGATCATGTGACTCAAGATACCTAAATGTAATGGGAGCAGATGTGTGGATAAATATATGCTCAAGAGGTAAAAAATGCATCATATGTGGATATTCAAACGTAGCATGTGTTTGATTCGTACTTACAGGGTGAGTACAGTTGTTAAAAATGAACTAACACTGCCATCTTGTAGGTTTAGACCCAATCTTTCTGCTGATATGGTCGGAGTTTGAGTAAATCTATCAGTCTCTGTATTTTACTTAAAAGCCATACAGCATAAAAATATGAGTCTGTAAACTTTGTTTTGTTTATTCTACAAAAAGTAATTTTTGTGACTGATAATTTTTGCCCTTTGCTCTTCATATGTAAAGAGAAAAAATCAACAAGAAATGTTGAGATTGTTGCCAAAGAATAGAAACTAATTGTCTTGAAAGTTATGAGTTGTTCATTAAAAAATCATATAAGTTCATTATACGGCAGGTCTAAGTAGGATCTAGAGAAATGAATTGTAATCAGATTACAGGTTTATTTGCCTCGAACAATGCCATAAGTACATCTTTATATTGTATATTAATATCAAATTGTGTGCTTCTTCCGCACCACCCATGAGGTAAATAAAGCCCCCAATATATTTTGTTAGTCACATCCCCTATAGCAGTGCTCCGCAACCTTTCCTCATCTGAGGCACACCAAACTGCTCCCTAGAATTTCGTGGCACACCAAAATCTAAAATATATTTATAGCAGTGGCGTAGCTAGGTCGGGGGTCAGTTCACTCCATGTATACTAATTATTTATGGATGTCCAAACTACCTTAGTTTTTTTTTATTGTTTTAAAATGTGAAGAAGCCCCTTTCAGATTTGGGGCATCAAAATTTTCACTCAGGACATAATACATATTTTTTTTTTATTTTTTTTTATTATTCAGATAGAATGAAAAATACAAATAGGTACATACATGAGAACTATACTAAATACTAGGTAGGACAGGTAGGTATACTAAATTTACTTCTGTTGACACGTCAATAGTAATAAATATTTTGACATGATGATGACTGATTAATGTGATACCTGCGCTTGCTTCGTTGAACACAAAAGTTTTATATTCGGCTCAATTTTAGACAGCGCAACTCTCATTTCTTGGTCAAGATCTTTTAAGCATGACCGTTTATCATTTTTAATTAATACAAGCGTTGAAAAACTTTGCTCACATAAATATGTTGTGGAAAACGGAAGTAGTGTGAAGATGGCCTTGTCGGTGATGCGTGGATATTCTGTCTTGATGGAAATCCAGAAAACATCTAACGGAACTTCGTCGAATTTAAGTTTTAGGGTCATATCATTACTTAATTCTGTGAACTCCTCTCGAGTTTGCAATGGCAGTGCTTCCGTGGAACTTATTGCATTGGTTGCGAAAGGATTTCGAATCCAATTGTATTGTTCCGTGTTGATAGAATGGAAATAGTATTCAAATTTTTGTTGAAGCATACTTAAATGTTGTTGGGCCAAATCCACAATCAACTGCTTGTTTTCGATCGTACTGTGGTTGGTCCTGTGATACATTTCTAGACATCCTTTTTGCAACTGTTCCTGCCAAAGTTCAAGTTTCTTTTTGAACCCTTGTAATTTATCGGAGCACGTCAATATATTTTCATTCCGTCCTTGCATTTTTTTATTAAGTTCATTCAGATGTTCGAATATATCCGCCATGTATGCAAGTTTGGCTATCCAGTATTCATCATGAAGGTGCTGGCATAGATCGTACATATCTTGACTTGAAAGAAACTCACGCACTTCGTAGCGAAGTTCAAACAGTCGAGCTAAAACTTTTCCCCGGGATAACCAACGAACTTCTGTATAAAACAGTAAGGATTCATGTTCGCTTCCCATTTCTTCACAGAGTATTCCAAATATTCGCGAATTTAAGGCTCTCGATTTAATTATGTTTATGATCTTAATACATTCATTCATTGTGATCGAAAGCTGTTCGGGCAAATTTTTGACCATCAATGCTTCTCGATGTATGCAGCAATGTGTAATTTGTATTGACGGATTTTTTTGTTTTACACAAGATACAAAACCTTTCTTACTGCCCATCATTGCAGCAGCACCATCTGTACAAATAGCAACGCAATTGGTCCACTGAATATTATGTATTTTAAAAAAATTATCAGTTACTTGGAAAATTTGTTCACCGGTAGTTCTCTCTGGAACCTCCTTACAAAATAAATAATGTTCTTTAATAGAGTCCTCGTCAACGAAACGTACAATAGCCATCAGTTGTGCTTTATTTTTAATATCGGTTGATTCGTCGATTTGAAGCGCAAAAAGTCCAGCCGAAATGATTTTTTTAATTAGTGTTCCCAAAATATCACTTGACATATCTTGGATACGTCTTTTAACAGTATCGGCCGACAAAGAAACTTTACTCACGTCCTTAACTTCGTTTGGCCCAAGCATAAGTCTAACAATTTCCATGCATGCTGGTTTAATAAGCGTTTCACCGATAGTGTGCGGTTTTTTTTGTTGTGCAATTAATTTTGCAACAAGGTAGCTTGCTTCTAATGCCTTTTCAGAAACCGTAACCGCCGATTTCATAAACTGCTTTTGTTTCTTATTTTGATCCAAGCGCCGTTGGAAAAATTGAATGTCTTTTTTGACGCAACTGGGATGATTTGTGATCAAATGACGGTTTAGTTTGCTGGGTACCATTGCTTCATTTGACAACTGTTCACCGCAAATGACGCATTCAGGCTTTGGAGCCGCTTCGTCGCCACACCAAGTGAAACCATATCGAAGGTAGTCTTGATTGTACTTCCTTTTCAGCACCTTTTTTGCTCTTTTTGCAGCACTTATGCTGGAGCTTGTGCTAGGTTCTTCGTCATCTGCTCGTGATTTCAGCAAAAATTTATCCATATTTGAAGCACTATAGTTATTTATAAAAGTAGATACTGCAACAAAACTTAGTCCAGTTCACTTATTTATAAGGCACAAGAATTTATTTATATAGCAATTCACTATTTATTTCACTCTACGATTTATTTGTTTGCCCGCGTATTTATCTGATTCACTTGACTATTCGACTCTCTCTGAGTCTCTGAGCGACGACAGGCGCGCTTATATAGGCAGTGGCGATGTTCAGGAAAACATCGAGTCGCGCCTCGAACGGCACGGATCTTTCTAGTTTAGTCGCCTTCGAGAATCAAGCCGCCGCGCCGCGCCGATAGACGGATAGACGTTTACCATCGGCGCTGTTGTCAGATTGCTTTATTTTTCGCGGGTCTCGCTACAATACGAATCTGATTCGTATTGTCTGCAAGAGCGGCACACCTCAAGTCGGCTTACGGCACACCAGTGTGCCGCGGCACACCGGTTGCGGAGCACTGCCCTATAGGATGGCCACAGTTGAACTAGCAAGGTGAAAAAATCAACAAAATTATTACCAAAGACTAGAAAATTAATTGCTTGTGAGTTCTCTATTGAAAAAGCTTATAAATTGTGATGAAATCAATAAAATTTTTTAATAATTTAATTATAAAATATCTAGTTTAAATTAATTTCCGCCTGATAACGTTCTGAAGAGCCCTCGTATTTTTTTCGTTTCCTAGAAATTCCCGTTTTTGAACATTTGCAGCCCCCATATTTCTAAAT